ATCTGCATTTGCGACATTTAGGTCTATCATTGGCAAATGGATGTTCTACTAAAATTTATGCGAATGTATAAATTATTCTTTTAAAAAATAATTTCTTCACATTGCTCCTCTTTGGTACTGTGCTCATATTCCTTTATACCCTTCATATTTTTCTATTATTAGAATCAATAACTTTGTGTCAGAACACTTTAAGGAAGTTGCTCTATTCATTTTCTTGCCTAAATCATCCTTCAACTTAATGGCCTAATTTACACATCATTTAAAATTTCCATTTTGCTTGTAAACAATCTTTTCCAGCTTAATAGCATCTCTTCTTGTTCCTGTACCAACTTAGAAGCACCTGCTAAAAGGAAAGGTAAACAAGCCAGAATCTAAGAGTTTACCCTCATGTTTAATATACATTCATAAAAATGAGTCAGCAGATGCATTTTCCATAGACTAAATGGTGAAAATACAGCGCAGCCCTTTTCCATGCCATACATTTACATTTCAGAATCTCCATTCTGGAAAGCATCCACAGTTTAAAGTTAGTATTTGCAAAAACAGGTCAACTTAGTTCATTTCAGAACACCAACAGATTTGAAATGGCTTCTATGCAGTACTAACCTTGACTGGTCAGAATACCCCAGCTAGCTTTTCGTTTAGGAGAACATTCCTCTATACTCGCTAGCCTTCTTTTCGTGAGGATCTGCTTAATACAGTTCCCTTCAACAGCAATATCTGCGGACATAGTTTGGTTGACGTTTTTTGTCTGTGACAACCAGATTTCATAAGTGCAAGTGCTCTAGCCAGAAGAACTATCAGCGTCTGGATTTCTACCTACTACTTCCTTCCCTTAAGACTTTCACAAAGGTTCCTGTGAGCTCACTGGAGAGAATGGCTTAGACATTGAACTCTATTCAGAAATACTGGAGTGGGGCTCGTTGATGCAATGTGGGGGATGGTCCAGAAATGCTGCAGCATTTTCTATTTTTAAAGTGAAGACTCGCTGCAGCTGGAAGTATTTAACTATTTGTGTGATATAGAAAGTAAAAAATGGGTAAAGTTTTTACTCGTGGAAACAGGATAGACATGAGCTTGTCTTTAAAAAACAAAAGCCAATTTGAATGATTTACAAATCAATCAAATGTAAAATTACCATTGATAATGGCTGCAGAGTATTGCAGCCAGAAAGCTCAGTAGTGATCAGTGACTAGTTAGCCTTTCTCCTTCCTTACTCAGGAGTAAATATTATATGTGCATTAGGGTCAGCTGGTAGCTAGCTCATGTTTTCATAAGGATCTAAGTTTAGAATTGGCCTTAGTACAAAATCACAGTCCTCTTATTTATGTAGGCATAGTTCAGTATTGTGATTTTTCTGGAGGTCATTTCTAAACCAAAAGACGTCAGCAGTCAATTTAAGTACAGCTGAGATTTTACACCCTAAAAGGTAGAGGAAAGGGTAGCTGGAGAGACGAGAGGAAAAACCAAGCATGTGCCTGGTATTTTTGCTGGCATGTAAAGATGAACGAGGCACACAGGCCATGATCCAGTCAAGAGCAGTGACTGAACTGTGATAGGACTCCGAGGATTAGCTGAGCTGGTGGTCATGTTACAGGGTATTAAGCATATTGAGTATCTGTCTGGATGGAAAATGGTGACAGATCCTGTTATCTATCTTTATTTTCTTATCACTGCTTTTTAGGCTCTACCTTTGGTTGCTACACACAGGAAAAAAGATGGTTGGGGTATCGCCATCATATAACAAGTCAAGTAGGAGAAAAAATATTTTATGAGTAAAATTATTTCCCATATGCTACCCTACAAATATGTACTGCCATATTACATTGCCAATTGTTACCCCAAAGTTATCACCAACAAATACCAAGAATATCTTTTTCCTATCTTGAATTAAGTTCTAATCATACCAAACTGTTTGTGTGACCTGGGGCAAATAGCTTAATGATACCTCAGTTTCCTTTTTTATAAAATGAGGAGCTTGGATATAATCATTCTTTTCTGGCTCTAACATTCTTTGATCCAGATTCTATGACTAACACACAAAGGGCAAGGTAGTTAGTATATGAGCTTTAGGCCCTATTATATTACCACAGAAGAGGCCAGATATTCCTGATAAAACTGACTTAGAGCCATCTCAGCCTAGCCTATTTGTATAGGCTGTTAGTATGGGTGGCACATTCCTAGGTGAAGTTAAAGAAGGCTATCAGTCCAGTATACTTACATAAGCCAATTGTCGTTAACCACTGGTTCTTTGTCCCCTAGTTTGTATTCATAAAATAAATATGATAATCTACACAAACCATACAAGAAAAGTAAATATTAATTTCTGTTTAAATTCATTAAATTAAGATTTTAATTATTTTTGTTTAAACTAATTAAATTAATTAAAAGAAATTTCAACTTTAAGTTTATGGCTTTTCAGCTTCTGTTATTATAGAATAAATATAAGAAGCTTTATTATAAGTGTTGGACAATTTTTGTTCTTAAAACAATTTTAGACATCATGTCTTCTAATGATCTTTTTCTATGTCTGCCTCCCCCACTAGGTTGTGCACTCTGATTGCAGTGACTAGGTACGTAATCTCTTATTTCACAGGTCTACTATTATATCTCTTAAATAGTGAGCATTCAAAAAAATGTTAAAGAGTAATTCAGATACGGAATTCCCAAGAATGCTTCAAGAAGGCTTTCTGTAGTCCTTGGTGATAATAAACTCATTTCCATTGCAGCCAGGAAAAAAGAAGCCATTGGATTTGACCATAACCATATATTACGTTAACTGAGATGTATGCTGGCCGAGATACGGAATTCCCAAGAATGCTTCAAGAAGGCTTTCTGTAGTCCTTGGTGATAATAAACTTATTTCCATTGCAGCCAGGAAAAAAGAAGCCATTGGATTTGACCATAACCATATATTACGTTAACTGAGATGTATGCTGGCCGACAGGTGGACTAAGGAGAAAAAGTAATTACTTTATTTTTTCATAAATTTTTAATAGATCAAAAGCAGAAGTAATATTTTTAAAGTAACTCCATGGAATTGAAGAAAAATGTTATGATTGATTTACTAAAAAGAAAAAAAAAGGAACAAAAGATTGAACAAATTGAGTATGCTCAGTGTACTGACTTGTATAATTTTGTAAAAAAGGATGCACAGTGAAGTAAATGTGTTCAGGACAGAATAGCTTAAATGCTGGGTACCTGTGATGGTATAAATAAGTGTACTGTGAAATCTCCAGATATTTAGAAGAATCTAACATCCTCCCTAGTGTAAATACAAAAGCAAACTGGACAAATTGCAAGATATCATTAGGCCCTGTGAGTGGGCAGAAGCTTTAAAGCACTAAGAAAAATAATAAAATTTATATTTTATAGAAGATAATGAACTCTGAACTATCATGTCTCAGAAAAAGCATCTGAGATATATTATTTCTTAGAGATAGCCTAGTATTACTACTCACACAGGCTAAAATAAAATTTTAAACCTTGTAGAAAGAATATGGGATATAAAATGTTGATTCTATCCCTAAGAGGTATTCTCTTCTCATTTTAACCAATATGTCTGAAAACACAGGAGCCTATATTTGTTCTGGCCACCAATACTTAGTGAGAAAGTGAGGGGAAAGCTGGAAATGTTTCAAAGAGGGCACTGGAAACCATCAAAGAGATGAAGATCCTTCTGCAGAGAGAAATCTTAATACTTGCTATGGTTTGAGTGTGTCCCCCAGAATTCATGTGTTGGAAATTTGGTCCTCGGTGTGGCAAGGTTGGGAGGTGGGGCCTTTAAGAGGTGATTAGGCCATGAAGAGGGACTAATATCACTCTTGAGGGACTGGGAGTGAGTGAGTTATTGCTCTCTTGGGACTGGATTAATTACGTTAGAGCAGGTTGTTGTAAAGCACGGCGGGCCCTTGTGTTTTGCCTCTGTTGAATGCTCTCACTTGCCCTTCCACTTTTCAGCTATGTTATGATGCAGATGCAAGCCCTCAACAGAAGCTGCTGCCATGCCCTTGGACTTCCCAGTTCCAGAACCATGCAACAAATACTTTTCTTTATAAATTACCCAGTCTCAGGTATTCTGTTAAAGCAACAGAAAAATAGACTAAGACATTACTTTTAGATACTTCAAATTGGAAAGTTGAAATCTGAAAGACGTTATGAGAGAAATCTACGTAATCATGCAAAGTATGGTTAAGAACAAATAAACTTTTTCAAGAAATCCTGAAAAACTAGAAAGCGGAATCACCTCACAATTTTAAAAGCTAAATTTGGGATACAAATATAAACTCTTTTTTTAGTTTACACAACAAATCATAAACTTAGAGAGCTCATTGCTTACAAGAAGCGGTATTTAGATAAATGAATGTATGAATCATCCATAGAGAAAGATTTTTGAGGGAATATTCCTGAGTTTGGGGACCTAGATCATGAGCAACTCTTCCTCCACTGTCAGAAAAAGAAGATCCAGATAAATATACTCCTGCTTGGATCCAGGTTGGCACCCTCCCTCCACTTTTTACTATGGAATATTTCAAACTTAAAAGCACATCAATCACCCAGTATCAACAATTATCAACTCACACTCAGAGTGTTTCATCTACAACCCAATCTACAATCCCTGAAAACGCTGCTAGGATTATTTTGAAGCAAATCTCAGTATGTCATTTCATTCATGGATATTTCAGTATGTATCTCTAAAAGATGAGGATTTTTTGTAATCATAACTGTAATCTCTCAATCACACAGAAACATAATATCAGCAAATAGAAGTTGGCAATTTTTATTTTCTAAAGAGCAGTTCAGTTTATAAACTGCTTTCTGTAAAGATACCTAAACTGATATAACCTTTAAATCCTTTACCTTGGGGCAAACATCTGTGATCTCTCTATTTTCTGAATGTCTTTAAAATGAAAGATTCCCATCCTTACTAAGGACTCACTAAGTACAAGGTCAAATCTTTGCCTTAAATTATCATAATGATACCTAAGATTTTCTTTTACCTGTTAGTGCCAAATTTCCACCCTTGCAAAGACGCATCTGGAACAGGCCATTATTCAGTTCTTGGAGTCTCTGTTGCTTTGAGTGTCCTTACAAGGCCTCGCATTCCTATAATTCTTCAGAGTCATCTCTCAGCCCCGGTCTTGCTTCATTTTATTTTTTGTTCTATTTTATTTAAACATGAGTACCTAAATCTGTTGGCCTAGTGATAGTGAGTGAGGGCAGATGAGGCCTGAGGCAAGCCTGACGTAAGCATCTTGGGAAAAATGGAGCGATTGTTATCCAACAATTAACCTTTATTTCAAGGGCCATTTACTTCCTATATAAAGGTTGCTCGGTAACCTACAGATGTCAGTATTGAGGTCTATGGTATCTCCTCTCTTAGTTGGAATTGAGTGATTAGGAAAGGTTACCCCCCGCAAAAAAAAAAAAAAAAAAAACAGTGGAAAGATATCAAAAAGAAAGATACCGTTGTAAGAGAAAATCTAACCAAGAATATTGGTTCTATTTTTTAAAATAAGATTTGATGTTTCTCCAGACTTTGGTTAAATATATAACATTTTGAGGAAAGCATATACTACTTTTTTTTAAAAAGTACGCAAATTTTACTTTTTAACCATTATACATAGAAATGAAAGGTTTTAAACTCTCATTGATGTGACTACTTTTTACAAATTTCACTTGTATCTGCAGTTTACCTACATTTGATTTTAAAATATCTCTGCAGAGCCACTAATAGAACTACCCAATTCAATACAGTGTAGTAGTTAGGAGCCTCAGCTCTGCAAACTGCCAAAGCTAGGTCCGTATCTTAGCTCAGCTAAATACAAAATTTGCTACCTCGGGAAAGTTAATTTCTTTGTGCCTCGATTTCCTTATGTGGAAAGTAGGGAAAACAATATCACCTACCTCACAGGATTTCTGAATTAATACATAATTTCATGGAATTAATACAAAAATCAGAGTAGTGCCTGGTACACAGCCAGCCCTCAAGTTCAGCTTTTATGGCATTATTCTTACTAGTGTATAATGTAGCGATAAATGCACGATTCATGCTTCCTTCATCTAATCTTGTCTTTCTACTGAAGGATAAAGTTAAAAAAGTAAGTCAAAAACTTCCAACTCTCCAGTATTTCAGCTATTGGTAAACCCTGCACGTAAATATTCATGGTTCATTAGTTGCTCAGTTACTGTGGTGTATATAAAACAGTTCTTGGCATACTAGATTTGTCCCCTTGTAAGTAAAACAAAACAAACAAATAACCTACCAAACAAAGGTGAACAAACAAACAAAAACAGCCCACGAAGTGAAGCAACAACAATACAACCTAACTCGGGAAGCCACAGACTCAAAAATACATCAAACCTATGTCATGGGTGAGTCTACTGGTTGCAAAGAAGTAAATGCTGGTTGATATAAGAGACCAGCCACTTACACGTAAAAGTAAGAAAAAAGTTGAAAGAAAGTACTTACAATGTTAGAAATAAGAAAATTAAAAAATAAAGAATGAGGAAGAAGCCACAGATTTGGAAGTGATTTGAAGCAGCAATACTCTGGAAGCACAGGAGTCTCCTGCATCTTATTCTCAACAGTTCCTTGGTTCTGGAAGGTCTTGCCAGTGGTAATGAAGTCACATGGCTTGGACAGTCCTTACATGCAGGTTTGCTGTGTTGAATTGAATACTATTCTTAAGTTTTTCCCTAGGTAAATTCCAGATTAAAAGACAAAGAATTGATGACAGGTCTTAAATGCATAAGAATGCACTATAATATCTTACACTGAAAATTTCTTGATGAATTTGTCAGTATGCCAGGGCTTTCAAATGTTGGTTTTGAAAAGTGTTTTATCATGTCGATATCCGCCCCCCCCCCAAATTTCCCTTGATTACATCCACATTCATTTACTTCCAATATCATCACCCTTTACTCAAAGGCCTAGGCCAAGCTACTAGAAACACTGTAATAGTTGCTAACTGTTCTCCCCACATCCATTCTGGTCATTGTCTGGTCCATTCTATTAATTAAGTGATATGTCTGAAATTTGCTTCAAAATAACTTCAAGGTAATGTTTGCAGTTTTAATAGTGTTCTGCAAAAGCAAGGTTGTGTCTTCTAATAGGTATCATCTTTTTGCTCTATTTATGGACAAGGATATTATTTAAAATAGGAAACCTTATCATAACAGATTTCTTAGAAAGATGATTCCTCATGCTGGATTTGAATTGCTGATATTTTATCTAAGATTTTTTGCAGCTATATTCATGATTGAAATTGTCCTATAATTTTCTTTTCATGTAGTGACCTTTTCAGGTTTTGGTAATGTATCAGTTAAGGTTCGATCACTATGAATGTTATAGAGCAAGGAATTTATCATGATAACTATATCTTGTACATTTTCAGGAGCTGATTAAGAAGTTTCTGCAGGGCTGCTGTCTTTGTGGCTGATGCTGGGCTTGAAGTCACTATAGGCTGCCAAGGCTGAACTGCTTGGCTGGCAGTTGGCAATGAGAGATGATCCGAAGTGGTCTGGGGAAGGCAAAGATCAATTGGAACCTGTGGGGAGAATCTAGAAGAGCAGGGCTTGAAGTCACTATAGGCTGCCAAGGCTGAACTGCTTGGCTGGCAGTTGGCAATGAGAGCTGATCCGAAGTGGTCTGGGGAAGGCAAAGATCAATTGGAACCTGTGGGGAGAATCTAGAAGAGCATCTGTCAACCACCATCTCCATCCTCAAGGATGTAGGTGACCTGAAGAGAGGCTGGTGCCCTTCACCACAGAACTGCACATCCACCTGGCCCAGGACTCAGAGAAGTCAGAGGGGAAGATATGGTGGGAGCAGAACTAGCTCTAGATCTGGATGTCACTAAATGACCAGTGACGTGCAAGCAGCTGGGGCACATGGTACCCCATACCAAACACCAGATTGTAAAAATGGCAGCTCCTTCCACTGCCATCCAAATTTTATACTAATTTTTTTTCTGGCCTATCCCCACCTTGGGCAACACAGGAAAGGGAAGCAGTTCTAAACTGACACAGCACAAAGCCACCACAGGTAACCAGGTTAGTAACTCCATAAAATGAGTTCAGGACTAGTCCCTTGTTTTCTCTACTTTCATGGTTTACATGCTAGAACTATTTCTGTCTGTAATGCTGGGTAGAAGTCATTAGTAAAATCATCCACTCAGGGTTTTTTTGAGGAAGTTTTTCTTATAATATACATATATAGAAAATTATATATAAATGTAAAATACAATATGAAGGGTCTTCAACAAGTTTACGGTAAGATTCTGATTATCTTTCAATTCTATTTTTTCACAAACTTTTTGAAATATGTGTGTGTGTGTGTGTACAAGAAGTTTCTGCAGGGCTGCTGTCTTTGTGGCTGATGCTGGGCTTGAAGTCACTATAGGCTGCCAAGGCTGAACTGCTTGGCTGGCAGTTGGCAATGAGAGATGATCCGAAGTGGTCTGGGGAAGGCAAAGATCAATTGGAACCTGTGGGGAGAATCTAGAAGAGCATCTGTCAACCACCATCTCCATCCTCAAGGATGTAGGTGACCTGAAGAGAGGCTGGTGCCCTTCACCACAGAACTGCACATCCACCTGGCCCAGGACTCAGAGAAGTCAGAGGGGAAGATATGGTGGGAGCAGAACTAGCTCTAGATCTGGATGTCACTAAATGACCAGTGACGTGCAAGCAGCTGGGGCACATGGTACCCCATACCAAACACCAGATTGTAAAAATGGCAGCTCCTTCCACTGCCATCCAAATTTTATACTAATTTTTTTTCTGGCCTATCCCCACCTTGGGCAACACAGGAAAGGGAAGCAGTTCTAAACTGACACAGCACAAAGCCACCACAGGTAACCAGGTTAGTAACTCCATAAAATGAGTTCAGGACTAGTCCCTTGTTTTCTCTACTTTCATGGTTTACATGCTAGAACTATTTCTGTCTGTAATGCTGGGTAGAAGTCATTAGTAAAATCATCCACTCAGGGTTTTTTTGAGGAAGTTTTTCTTATAATATACATATATAGAAAATTATATATAAATGTAAAATACAATATGAAGGGTCTTCAACAAGTTTACGGTAAGATTCTGATTATCTTTCAATTCTATTTTTTCACAAACTTTTTGAAATATGTGTGTGTGTGTGTGTACATACATGTATAATGATTTTAGGACAGATTTTCTCTTTTTTCTAAACTAAGCTTTGATTAATTGTGTTTTTTAGGAAATTGTACATTTCATCCAAATATTCAAAATTTTTGGCATTAGTTATTATAATATAACCACTTACTGTAAAAATTTCAGTAACATCTGCTATTACGTTTTCTTTTTAATTTCAACTGCTGCTTATTTGTAATTGAACATTTTGACAGAGGTATACTAATCTTATTAGTCTTTCAAAGTACCCTCTTTTGGCTTTGTTGATCTATATTTATTTTTTTACTTTAATTTCTCCTTGTCTCTTTCTTGTTTTCTTCAATTTTTAGAAGCTGATTGTGTTGTTGTTCTCATAATTTTAATTTTGTGGCCTATGAGTTACTTAAAGATATTTTTTTAATTTCCAAACATACGAGTATTTTTTTTTACTAATTACATTTTGTTAATGATTTCCACATTAATTTTACTGAGGTCAGTGGATATGATCTTTATCAGGGGTCAGCAAACTGTGTTCATGGCCAAATCTGGCTGACCACCTATTTTTGTAAATAAAGTTTTATTGTAATAGAACAAAACCCATTCATGTACACATTATCTATGTTTTTTTTTAGATGACTGCAGAGCTGAAAGCCCAAAAAGACTAAAATATTTACTCTCTAATCCTTCACAGGAAAAATTTGCCAACCTCTGGACTGTATAATACTAGTTACTGGAAATTTATTGAGACATGCTTCATGGTCCTGTATATAATCAATTTTCATAAGTGTTCAAAATGTACGTGAGAAGAATGTGGATGGAGAGTTTCATCTATTAATCAGACTGACCTTTCTAATTTCTTCTTTATGTTGATATAATTAACATGTTTGCTTAATCAATCAATTACTAAAATAATTTCATTAAAATTTTTCTCTCCTTGTAGTTATGTCCATTTTTGAATTTTACATTGTGAAGCAATTTTATTGGGTAAATACACAGAATTGTTACAGTTTCTTAGTAAATTCAACCTTTTATCATTATATAGTGGCCATCTAGTAATTTTTTACATCAAATCTT